AACAAGAGCACATCCAATGCAGATGGGCCCAAGTTTCCCGGAGACAAGACGGCCTCAGCACAGAACAACAACCAGAAGAAAGGGATTCAGGTGTTGCCTGATGGTGAGTCTTCACTGCCAATCGTATTGCTGCTATTCCACCAAAACAACCCTTCTTAATTGCCTTGAGTGAGGCAGTTGGACGTGCTAACCTGCATTTGGGGTTAGATAATTATCAACTAAGCTACAGTGAGGAAACCCAACAAAATAACGTTCATTGTAACACAGCCATAATCACTTTTCCATTAATTTACCTGTGATCATGAGTTCAAAGAGGTATTCAGTTGGTTTGTTCACAAAGTGTAGTTATTAATGCAGAGGTGATTTGACATTAAGTACTGAATCTAGCTCAGAGTCCAGTTTCTACAGTTTGTTTTAATCTTGAGTTGTCTTGCTGCTGCAGGTCGGGTGACGAACATTCCCGCAGGAATGGTGACGGATCAATTTGGCATGATTGGCCTACTGACGTTTATCCGGGCAGCAGAGACTGATCCGGGGATGGTCCATCTGGCGTTAGGAAGTGACCTCACAACACTGGGACTCAACTTAAACTCACCAGAGTAAGACAAATTTCATTACCCTGCAAATACATACTGATTTTTCCTATAAAAAACACACACACAAAGAAACAATAAAAAGTTTTAGTCCAATAATGCATGTTACATCTGTCTGCTTTTATTTTTAATGAATGAATCTATTTAGTTCCCCACCGTTTCTTTGGATGGATGTAATCGTATTGTCATTAATGTATCAGTGGCTGAATACAAGAGGCGCAGTGTCTTTGTTGCCTTAGAATTAGCTTTTTATTATCTGCAGAAGGGGTGAGTCCCTTCACTGTCATTTTTATACATTAGGAGCCTTTTGCATTTGTAACAGTCACGGGAGGAGCACTAAATCATACACGCTGGTCTTTTAAGTTTCAGGGTCTATGATTTTTGATATACATCAAATTTCATTCTTACTCAGAGGTAATAAAGAAATAAGAGGAAAGAGACTCCATTAGTTACGTTTGCCCCCTGCTGACTGCATCAGTAGGTTGGTAAAAGTTGGTATTTTCAGAGTTTTTGACATTTCTTCCTGTTTTATCTAAAACGTTTAGCAAACAGTCTGCTTTTGATATTAATACTAGCAAGAACTGATTGCAACTAAACTCTTTGACAGAAACTTGTACCCCAAGTTTGCCTCTCCTTGGGCTTCCGCACCTTGTCGACCTCAAGACATCGGTAAGACATTAATTTGATGTATGACAGTCCTGAGTAGCTTTCAAGACCAGAGTCAGAGCAGGTGTCAAGACATTTGCATTAGTGCTGAGGAGGAGCAGAGAAAGGATGCAATGCAATCTTAGTATTTTTGTAAAATATTTACATTTTTAGTCATGTTTTTTTTTTCTTTTTTAACAAAAACTGTTGTTGTGGAAATTAAAGTACAGACATACATGTGGCCCTTTAAAATTAGTGCAGCTAAAAAAACCTTCAACTATTTTATTACAAGTAGTTGGCTGTTGACAGAGTTAATTAATAAGATTTAGATTCTGGCAGGCCTCCTGGTCTTTGCTTTTTTTATCCGACCTGGAGACCACATTTTTGGCATATCAGTAGCATAAATTTTCAAAGCCACAGTGAATTAAAACAGTTACACACTGCTTTAGACACTCTTGTGTGTGCTGCTAACCTATATCTGTATCTGCATTTTTAGACTTCCATGTTCCATCGGAGTATTTAACAAATATCCACATAAGGGACAAGGTAACCATGAACTTGAGCTCAATGTAAGCGGTTCAAAGATTAATGTAGTAAAATAAAATTAATCTATACTGTCTTGTCTTGACTCTAGTTGGCTGCCATCAAACTGTCTCGATACGGTGAAGACCTGTTGTTCTACCTGTACTACATGAATGGAGGAGATCTGCTACAGCTTCTGGCAGCAGTGGAGCTGTGAGTACTGACTTTTTGCTAGAAACGGGCACAAAGGTGTTTGTCTGTCCAGGAGATGATCACCTTACTTAGCAAAGAAGTTTAAAGGAGTCGTGTAAAGTCGACAGTCTTTGCAGTTGCTGCTTCGTATTAAAAACGTTTCACTGGCGAGCAGATGAGACAGTTTTGTGAAGAGGAAATTAAGCAATCCGTAAACAGAAAAACAAGCTAGAACATTATATAAAACTGAATCTAAATTCTAAACCACAGGGATTCTCTCAGCAGATGCAAATATAATTGACTTTTTCCTGACACACAAGTTCAGCAACATTCATCTACAACCCAGCTCAGTAGGCCTTCTAAGGCCCGTTCAGTCCAAAGGCCTCGGAAGACACAACTGAGAGCGGAAGCCAGGAGGGTTGAACCAACGCACATTAAGAAAAAGCCTAGACTACTTATTAACGATGAACATAGCTTGCTGATTTAAAAAGTAAAGGGTATGCAGAAGTGTTTTCAAATCTGCATTCATTCTTAATGACTTCTTCTTGTGTAGAAGTCCATGGGGGGGAAAATGAACCATACTCATCACTTGATGTAATCTGTTTATCTCAGTTTCTGTTTTTTTGTCCTATTTGGAGTTGAATAGATGACACAACAGGTTCTGTTATTTCCACCCCTCAGTTGTGACCAGATTTCAAAAACACTACATGGCAGTGCTCGAAACGGCCAAGTCAGGGTTTTAAAGTCGAAATACACAAGTACATCTCTTATAAACAAACCTTTGGAAAAAACGCTTGTAAAGCTTTAAAATGGTGATCGATTCTGCTGTGTACTCTTAGATTAACACTTAACAAGGTACATTATTGTTTGTTTACGGAATAATTTTTCTTCTTTTGTATGAACATAATCATTTTTAGTTTTTGTAGAAATAGCTGGAAGTGTGAGTGAAACTCTTGAAATGAATCTTTCTTGGTCCCTGGTTAGCCACCAGGTGGCAGTATTTTATTTATTTATTTATTGTAATACTTATTCATGTGTTCTTCACTCTCCAGCTTTAACCGGGACTGGAGGTACCACAAAGAGGAACGGGTTTGGATAACTAGGGCACCTGGCATGGAGCCTACACTGAAGACTAACACCTATGAGAGGGGTACCTACTACTTTTTTGATTGTCTTAACTGGAGGAAAGTAGCCAAGGTAAGAGTTGATATTATCAAGTTTTATTATTTTTAGTTTTGAGGATTAGAGCTATTATCTTAAAACTATCTGTTTCTCTAAGGAATTTCATCTGGAGTACGACAAGCTGGAAGAGAGGCCTCACGTGCCAACAACATTCAACTACAACCCAGCCCAGCAGGCCTTCTAAGGCCCAACCAGTCCAAAGGCCGCAGCTGTTCCTGTACACGACACCGTTGTCCAGGAGGGACGAGGAGGTCCACACAGCTTGGTTTTTTTTATTCCTCGAGGATTTGGCTCTTTGACTGTAGGGGTCATCACCACCATTAAAACTGCCCTGCATTTTCAAATTTACAAGCTGCCCCAAAACACCAACGAATGTTTTGTTTTTATTCTTCATGTTCCTCCTGTTTTTGTTTTTTGTTTTTTTTTCCTCCTCTCTTGTTTTGAGCAGGGTCTGTGTTATGTTTACGTCTCTGAATCTGAAGCCTGTTTTTTCTCTGAAAGGAGGACTGACCTTGTGGCACAGGGCAGTGACAGAACAAAGGTTATTCTTTGTATTTATACCAAGTGTTAACTGAATTAAAGACGGGGAAAAGAAACGTTGACATCCTAGGAAGCAAGTTAAAGGGTGAAAGAAATGCAATGTTTATTGTTGCACTATATTTAGTAATAAAAGAACACAAAATTTGTTTGTCCTTTTTTTATGTGAACACTCCCTGATAATTTCTCCCCCTCTTTTCTATTGTTATTTGCTTTTCTTTTGTTGTTGATGTTTTGAGTCAGGGAGCTCATGCAATTCTCCCACATCTATACGTTTCACCTTTTTAGCCTCCCTCCTTTCAATTTACATTCATCCTTCCACCCTGTTTTTGCGTCACCAAACCTTTTCTGTCACAGTTTCTTCGTCTCTCTGTGACGTCTGTGCTGCCCAAACATGGACACAAATGTAGGAGACTACTTTGATGGAGAAGTCCTCAGAGGCTGAACATCTACACGACTTTGCTCCAGAGCAAACAGAACTCTTTCCAGTCTTTGTTACAATTTTGTAAGAAATGTGTACATTTTTTTTCTTTGCATCACATAAATTAGTATATGTATGTACGAATGTGTATATATGATTGCTACATATGTGTGTGTGTATATATATATATACATATATATATATATATATGACATTTATTTTGGAAGAAATTTTGCCCTGACTTGTACCTCGTTTTTATGAGGTAAGCATGGATGCAATATGTGGATGCGACAGGAGTTTTCGGGATCTGCTGGACAGGGTGTCACATGACACTGGGCACTTGCATCAAACTAAAAAATATTAAAATGTCACATGAGGAAAGGCCTGAATCTAAGCCCCACCATTAAAAGATTAAATAAACCTGGAGATCATTATCATTATCCCCTGAATTTAGACTCAAACACAACCAAAAGGATGCATTTCATTTTAAGCTGATTGAACAGTGGTGGACAGCAGCATTTCATAGCAAACGGAAAAAAGACATGAGGAAAAAAAAAAAAAAAGACCAATCTTGTATTTTCTGAATTTAAAATCTTAATTTCTTTGTATTAAAGCAGAAAAAGGCTTTCCTGAACCGTGTGTCTTGTTTATTGAGTATCTTACTAAAATTGGCCTCTGATTTGTTAATACCGTGCAGTGCAACAGAGAAAATTAAATTCAAATTTGTAAGACAGTTTAGAGAAATCATCCACAGCAAACACTCGACTTTTCACACCTTTTAATACAGACTCTGAAATGAGCCATTAAATTCTGCTGAAAATGCAAAGTTTTATTTTTTATTCCTTTAGTTAATACATGGAATGTAATTACACATGTACCACATGCTTAAGATACAAAACTGGAAAACAAATGTAATGATACACCTTCAGAGCAGCAGTATAAAATAATTTAATTTTAGCGCTGTATCTTTTGCATCGGATGAATTATTTCCAAATTATGTTATCAAAACAAGTATCCACAGTTTAGAAAGGCACATACACGCCCTAATTCATACAATGTATAAAGTGGACCAAGAAATGGTACACCGTTATGGCACACAAATGTGAAATTATACATTGAAAACATTCACAAGAGACTTCATTTGAAAGTTTCCATTGAAGGCCATAAAGAATCACAATAAGTACAGTGGACACCAACAAATAGGCAGCACACCAGTTAATTGAAACAAAGATCCAAACTAGTTCATGACTGACGGTGCAGTAGTAAAAATACGTTCATCCAGACTGAGTAAAAATATCAAAAGATACACTTTTACATTAGATTTGTTAAGCCAGCTCATCTTTTTAAAACGCTGCTGCATTTGTAAATGCTACTAATACAAAGTGAGTTATTAGATGCAGGGGTGATATCCTGATTAGCACTTTAAGTACACATTCTTTGTCTAATGAAGACGACCGTGCTGTGACAGAACACAAAGCGCTTTAAAGTCATTGTCTTTCTACCGTTTTCAACATCTTCCAGTTATTTTAAATCCCTGAAATGGACACACGAACGCAGCCTGCTGCTGAGCTCTCCTCTTCAGTACGTGACAGTGATCTGACAGCGAGGCTCACTTCGAGGCAGGGTCAGCGGGGGTGGAACTATCTGCAGAGCTTCCTGCTTTGGCAGCATTTTCTGTTGGAAATAAAATGACAACTTTAGTCTTTCCATCTCTTGAAAAATTATCTACAAAAAGCATACATGACGGTGGGAGTGTGCCAGTGGTTTTGCATAATTAAAGGACTTTATTAAGAACCCCACAAACTGCTAACCTTTATCTTTCTTCTCCTGAGTTTCCTCAGCTGCTGTCTTGTCAGCTCTGAAGAAGATCCGGGCGCTGCTTAAAGAGAAGTAGAGAAGCTCAAACTCCTGAAATGAAAAGGGAAAACAGTTCAGAAACACATCTCAGTGCCATGCTCACAACCACGCCAACCAGCAGTTAAACTTCTTGAAACCAAAATGTACCTGGAGGTACACGTCCAGCCTCTTCTGGGTGAGATTCATGGTTTGCAGCAACTTTTCATCCTGGTTGGCAGACTGAACGCTCTGCTCTTTCACCACTGCATTCATCTCTTTCTTGTACTTGTCTCTGACAGACTGGAACCAGTGCAAGGAGTCAAACTCTAGATACTGGTCCAGTAGCTTCAGAATGTACGCCACACCTGAGAGAGGAGGCAGAGAGGGGACAGAAAAAGAGGAGAGTACGTCCAAGGCCAGTACAGAAGAAAGGATTAAGGATGTCCGTGTGTATTATCAGGTTTGTCTACTCACCCATTGCAAAGCCGTCGTCTGTAAAAGCAGCTCCAGATTTGTTTTTCTTGTTGAGTTTCTCTTTGCAGCTGATGGAGTGCTCCACAAAATTCACCGTCTAGGAGTGAGATTTGTTGCAATAAATGTAAGTAAGTACAAACTGATTTCAAGTGAAGAGAACATGACATGTAGCAAAACAGCATCAGCACTGACCAGCGGTGGTACAATCATGTAGAAGTTCCTCAGGTGCATGTTCTTTGCACTGCGAAACTCAGGCGCAAACACGGCCACCAGCATCTTGAAGTACTCCGTCCCCTCGGCAGAGTTGCTGGTCAGATCTCCCAAAACAGAGTCCAGGACGCTGTGAAGCATAATAATCATAATAGAAAGCAAATAAATGACAGCAAAGAAGGGATTACATTGAAGGAATACATATTTTGGAAAAGTGCAGGGTGAAACTTGAATTTATTACCCCCACAGTAGATAATATATGAAACTATATGGGAAAAATACAGTATGTGTTCATTTCAATTCAATTGTGATTATATATAA